CCACACACCACACACCACACACCACACACCACACACCACACACCACACACCACACACCACACACCACACACCACACACCACACACACACACACACCCACACACACATACCCATGGGCGGTTCGGAGGGGAGAGGACTGGCTATCGGTATGGGTACGGGTTGTCGGGCCCTTGGGGGAGGCTCCCATTCGAGCGGGGACCCCCATCCGACAGCACGCACCGATAGCCCCTCCCGTCCCACCTATGGGTATGGGTGCGTGCTGTTCGTTCGTCATCAGGGGAGACGCATCAACGCCCAAACGCTATAGACATAATTTGTTGGCGCTCCGCGCGGATTTCTTGGATCCGCGCTGGGGCCGTCTGGCGGCGCCTCTGGCGGCGCCTCTGGCTCCGCCACTGGCGCGTTCCGCGCGCAAGGGAGGGGGGTCCAGCGCAGATCCAAGGAATCCGCGCGGAGCACCGAAAGTTTATGTTTATGCCGTTGTTCGTCTTCTATCTGACGAGCTCAGGGGTCACCAACGGCGTGCTGAATATGACGGCAACATTGTCATTTGCCGGTTTATCGCCTACAGTGGAGACCCATGCCAAGAAGCACCCTGCTTGCATCCAGGGTGCCCTGGGTTTCTTCGTTTCGATGGTTCTGCAATGGACAGCGCGACGTTCCCCCATTGAAAATCAATGGACGTCCTGGGGTCTCAGGGTTGGGTTTTTTGTCGAAGGTTTCTTGTGGTTGAGCTCCTGCTGTAACAGCCCACCCCGTCAAAGAAACTGCGGATTTGTTGTCGGGGGCCCATCGCCGATCGATGCGCGATGCATCGCCGATTCTAGGGCGACGTTCCCCCCTTGAGCTGGTCCCCTAGAGATGTTCCCCCTCGGCAGCGGTCGATGCCGAGCGGGTCGTCGATGCCAGCATCGTCTGGAGCACGACGATCGAAAGAGGGCCAGCCGATCTGTTTGTCATTTCTGAGCCTTCTGGAGAGTTTTCTCGTCGCTGCGGACAGATCTGCCTCGGAAAAAGGACCAGGATGGACCCTGGGAGGGGTCTGAGGATAGATTTTGAGTTCCTCCTCCTCCTCCTCCTCCTCCGCCTCCTCCGCCTCCTCCTGCCGGCAGCACAGTACGAGAAACCCAAGGCTCCAGGAGCGTCGGCCGTCAGGACCCTCTGGAACGAGATCCGCTGTCGATGGCACTGCTTGCCGTGGCATCCTTTGGCGCCACGATGCTGTGACTAAAACCACGCGCGCGCTTCGGGGGAGTTGCCATTGTCGCAGCTGGCCACCCCCAGAGACGGCTCTCAGGGCAGGGGCCGAGTTTGGGACGTCACTGCGCTGGAACCCGGCGGGCGGGGAAGGTCTGGCCGACTGGAGACAGGATGGACCGGGCAAGCCACGGACACAGGGAGTACAGCACTCTCGCCGACGGGCTCGCGATGCGCACCCTGCAGTCGGATGGTTCGACGACGGGCATCGAGAGGAGCGCGCGGGACGGGCGCGCGTGGGCGCGCGTGGGCCAGGGAAGAGCTGTGTTTGTAGCCTGGATGTTGTCCTGGATGACGTCTGGTGGCGTATCCTCGACCACTGCTAAATTGGCGGCCTGCGCGAGCTGGCGCTCACAAATACGTTCCGCGGGAAAGTGTTATCCGCGGTGGTAGATTTGAAGCCTCCGGATCTCAGTGAAGCCACTGGGGCCCCCACCAACATTGGAGGTTGCGCATCAATTTGGCTGAAAATCTCACCGGCGTTTCACGACACACTCATCATAGAGTTTGATTTGTCCGTCTGTTGCTTCCCTCATTGGGACCAGCCGTCAGGGCTCGAAATCCGAATTCCTGCTCCACTCCTTTTCCTCGTCCTCCTCACTCGGCACTATATGTTGAAACTTAAGTGTGGCGAGCATGAGGAAGCCGTAGCCAAGCGTTTCCTCAGTAGTTGGTCGGAACATCTGGCCAAACGCATGCTGCACCTGAGCATTCACGAGGCCGCACCAAGCAGGCTTGCCCAGCGGTTGCTTCTGTCTTCGCACATCGGTCTCTGCAATTAAGAGAATTGCGAGGCAAGATGAATGGTACGTGAGCGACAGTCAGGCGTAATCTCGCGTGACCCGCTCTCGACTTGCACGCCAAATTCTATCCAAGGAGTGTCCTTCGACTCTCCCCCGGCATGTGCTTCGTATAGAAGATGAATGCGATGTCGTGGCTGGAATGTCCGCATTATTATCATCCTGCCCCCAACTCATCTGCCCCCTCCTACTTGTCCTCCTCCTTCACCGCTCTCCTCCTCCTCCTCCTTTTCCTCCTCCTCCTCCTTTTCCTCCCCTCTCCTCCTCCTCCTCCTCCTTCCTCCTCCTCCTCCTCCTCCTAGCCCCCCTCTTTTCCCCCTCCTCCCCCCTCCCTCCTCCTCCACCACCCCCCCTCCCTCCTCTCCTCCCCCCCCCCCCCCTCCCTCCCTCACTCCCCTCACTCACTCCCCTCGCTCCCTCCATCCCTCCTCCCCTCCTCTTCCCTCCTGGGGGCCGCCCGCTCCCAACCTCCCCTCTGCCTCTTCCCCCCCCCCCCGCCCGCGGCCGCGGCAGGAGACCTGCGAGAAGTCCCGCGCGGACAACACGCGCGAGGCGGGCCGCCCGCCGCGTGGTGCGTTCGCTCCGTCGTCGTCGTCGCCGTCGTCGTCGTCGTCGTCGTCGTCGTCGTCGTCGTCGTCGTCGTCGATGTCGTCGTCGTCGTCGTCGTCGGCGTCGGCGTCGGCGTCGGCGTCGGCGTCGGCGAGCTCGTCGTTGTCGGGCTTGTCGTCGAGCTCGTCGCCGATGACGTCGTCGAGCTCGTCGTCGTCTGCGTCGAGCTCGCCGTCGTCGTGAAACTCGTCGAGCCCATCGGGGAAAGGGAGAAAGGAGTGGAGGGGGGAGGAGGGGGTCCTTTATCATTCTCCCTCATGATTCATCCCTTCTCGTTAACCTCCCTTCTCCCTATTCTTCTCTTTCTCCTATTCCTCCTTCCTTCTCCTCCTCCTCCTTCCTTCTCCTACTCCTCCTCCTCCTCCTCCTCCTCCTCCTCCTCCTCTTCCTTTCTCATCCCCTCTCATCTTCTCCGCCTTATCCCTTATCATTCCTCCTCCTCCTCCTCCCACGCCTCCTCCCTCGTCCCTCGTCCTCCCTTCTCCCTTCTCCCTCCTTCTCCCTACTCGTCCTCCTCCTTCTCCTCATGCTCTCTTGTCCCTCTTTCTCCTCCCTTCACCTTGCCTCTCTTCTACGTAAGCCTCAGCTGGGTCGGTGTTGTGGTGGCGCCCGGCAAGAATAGCTGCACCGCTCGGCGGCGAGGCCATCAAGCTCTCCCGCGACATCGACGAGAACACCGACACGATGACGCGCCTGATGTCAGAGGTCGAGAAGCTCGATGCGGAGATCAAGGAGAACCAGGCATCCCTCCCCGTGCACTCCCTGTCCGCCCCACGACGCCCCTCGCGGCAACGCGCGTACAATGCGCAAGTTGCCCACTCTGTTGCGTCCAGCGTTTGCAGCTGTTCCGCCACATGTTAACTCCCTTCACCCCTCATCGTGTTGCTCCTCCTCTTCCTCCTGATCCTCCTCCCCCTTCTCCTCCTCCTCCTTCTCCTCATTATCCTCCTCCTCCTCTTTATCCTCCTGCTCCTCCTCCTCCTCGTCGTCATCATCATCATCATCATCATCATCATCATCAGCATCATCATCATCATCAGCAGCATCATCATCATCATCATCATCATCATCGTCATCATCATCATCGTCGTCCTCATCCTCATCCTCATCCTCATCCTTTCTCTTAGGGTGCTTCATCCTCCTCTGACCTCTTCTGCATCGTTTCCTCCATCTTCCAGCCGGAGCATTCCTCGGAGATCGAACGCATTTCGACCCACCCCCAAGCATGGGTCGCAGCGCGCGGGTGCGCGTTGAGCCAAGTTGCTTTTGCCAAACGCGCGCTCGCTTTCGTCGTTGCGCCGAAAGCAAAACTGCTTCTCGACGGCTCCTGATGATCGAGCGACTTCTCCGCGCCCGAAGTGGTTGGCGGCATGCACGAGGACGGTGGGGTGGGAGGCGCGGCCGTCTGAGAAATCAAGGAGCTCTCCAAGAAGCAATCCTGCCTTCCAAGAAGCCTTCGTCATGCTTAACATTGGATCAGGCGATCCAAGACGCCGCCTGCGAGAAGCCACGGGCCCTTCCAGGAAGCCCCCGGCATTCCCAGGAGCCTCCCCCTGCCCCATCCCTCGGGGGGGGGGCCCAAACTCTGCGGTGACCACGCCGTGTGGTGAGTCAGTGGAGATTTCGGGGTCCGCACTGTTTTGGGACTCGGGGCGCTCTCCGAGGATGTCTCTGGCGACTGGGGCCTCCAGGGTCCCAAAACCGTGCGGTGGCGGACCGTGCGGTGAGGTTGGGGATTCCGATGCTCTGTCGCCGCACCGACCAGCCATCCCCTCGTGCACGCGGCTACAGAGGCCCCGCCCGTGGCACGCTCTCCTCTGCCCACCCTCGTCGCGTCCGCCGCCACCGCGCCGGCGAGCCGACGATGACGACGTCGACGACGCCAGCGACGACGGCGACGGCGGCGGCGGCGGTGGCGGCGGTGGCGGCGGCGACAGCGAGCGCCGACGACAACGGGCCCTGACGACCACCACCACGACGACGGCGACGACGGCGACGACGACGACGACACCAGCGACGCCGGCGACGACGACGATGACGACGACGACGAGCTCGACGAGGCGACGACGACGACGCCGACGCCGACGCCGACGCCGACGCCGACGACGCCGACGCCGACGACGACGACGACGACGACGACGACGACGACGACGACGACGACGACGACGACGACGTCGGCGACGGCGACGACGACGTCGGCGACGGCGACGACGACAGCGAACGCCGACGACACCGGGCGCCGGCGCTGACGATCACGGGCCGCTGCTGCCCGCTGCTCTGCCGGCCCCAGCGCACAGCGCGGCGCCCTGGAGGGGGGGGGCGGGGCGGCCGCGCGGCGACCCCGCGCGGCGGGCGGGCTGGGGGGGGGATGGCCGCCGCGGGCGGCGCCACGGGGCACGCCTGGTCGGAGCGGTGGTCGGCGGGCAGCGGCAGCGAGGACGACGACGACGACGACGACGACGACGACGACGACGACGACGACGACGACGACCTCGTCGTCGATGGTGGTCGGAGCGATGGTCAGCAGGCTGAGGAGGGCGGGCTGAGACGAGGGTAGCTGGCCCGCCGGGGGTCCCTTCCGCAGAGGAGAAGAAGGCACCCCTACTGCCACCCTGTGCCTGTTTTCCCTCTTTTCCTGGGGGACCTCCTGGGAGGCCCTCGTCGCCACAGCTGGATTCGTCTCAAAAGTCTGGTCAGGCAGCATCCCGGGAGAGGTCTGGGAAGCAATGAGCATTGAGTCGGGCATGTCTCTCTGCAGCGATGTTTCGACTATTTGTGCCTGTTTTAGATTATTGTTGAACTCGTTAGTTTAATCTTTCGTCCAAAATCCGCCGGTAGGAGGACAAGCCCGACTTAAGAGTAGCGGTGTCGGTACTTGTTGGTTTCCCCGCTGTCCGTCGCCACGGCCAGGCGCAGCTCGGAGAACTGGTGCGCTCGGGCCCCAAAGCAGGGCTGCGGGCTCCGGTGTCGAGCTGCTGCTGTCTCATCTCGCCCTGCTCCGAAGGGAAGAGGAGGACGACGAGGAGGAGGAGGAGGAGGTGGAGGCGGGAGGAGGAGGAGGAGGCGGAAGGGGAGGAGGAAGGGCGCATGGAGGGAGGTATCTGTCGACCCCCAATCGCCCATTCCTCGCCAGTCGCGCCCGGGTTCGGTTTCATGAACATGAGCAAATATCACATTTGCACCATCACGATTTAACGAAGGAGGAGAAGGATGTCATAGCTGAGGAGATTAGGCATGAGCTTCAGGAGGCTGCTCAGCATCCCGGCTCCATGCTCGTGATCGTCAAGGGCGATTTCAAGAAGCCGCTTCAGCGAGAAGGTAGTACTCCGGAGGAAGCTGAGATCCCGAGAAGTGTTATTATTCAAGAGTGGAGGGGCCAACCATGTAGTATGTTCATGAACGTTTTCAGCGACATGTTAGCACTTCGTATGCGCGATCATACGCAGCACAATTCACACTACAAGATTGTGAATAGCATCGATCTGATCTTCATCAGATTCCCTGGATGGGTTTGCCTTCAGCAGGTGTTCTCTGGGGCAGTCTCGGACTTGCCCGAAGTTCTCAACCGGCGCGGAATGTCAGACCACGCGACTGTCCGAGTACAACTGGCCACATCCTTAGAGACGCCGCCCAAGGAGCAACCGATTCCCAGGGAGATTTGCGAGCGCCCGAAGTTCCCAGAGCTTCTGGCCCAGGTGGAGCAGGAGGCCGAGTTGTCCGGGTTAACGCCACCGCTGCTGCTGCTGCTGCTGCAATTCTGGACTGACATGATGCGTGAGACTGCCCGCGTAGCGAGAAACACGTGGATGATGAAGAGCCCCTCGGACCCATTCGCTAAGCTCACTGTACGCAAAAGTAGATCCAGGGCGATTTGGAGGCAGGACACTAAACTAGGGCTGCGTCTGTGGCACTCGCGTGCGTTAGGTAAGCTGTTTTTGAGGGTCGACCTGCTCGAGGGGTCGGTGGAGCTGATCTACCCCGATTTTCTCTTGTGCGCGAACGAGGTCCACGAAATTAGATCTAAACAGCGTGGGTCCCGACTTCGTTACAATCTTTCGATGACTAACAATCAGACAGTTCGAGCCAAACTTCGTCGTCGTTTCCGAGGTGCGATCGCTCGTGCACGACTCTGGGCACCGTTCGGACGCTAGCTCTCTTTGCTCCGTATCCATGTTGGCTCAAGCAGCCTGCTCGCCCTGCACATGGCTCGAGCAGGCTACGGTCATGGCCGAAGCGATGGCGGAGGCTCTCCTCGGTGCTGTTGTGCTCGCTGGCGGCTCTGTGGTGGCGGCCGCAGCGGCGGCCCTCTGGCGAGCGGCCCAGGCTGGCGGCGGCACCCTGCAGGTCGAGGACAAGGAGGTGGATCACGAGATCCAGGCGCGTGTCGAGCTCATCAAGCCCGTCCTGCGAGCGAAGGTCGAGGCGGCGGTCCGTGACGGGCCGATTGAGATCGACGGCGGGGCGACGTCGCTCTGGGACGTCCCGGTGCATGGCCTTTTCGGAGAGGGCGCGGAGGCGCTGCCCCAGTGCGGAAAGGGGGCCGAACGGCAGCAGAGGGGGCGGCGGCGTCGCGCCCGTGGCGCGCAGGACACCGCCATCGTCGGCATGAACGGCCGCTTCGGTAACAAGATCGAGATGCGCCAGCTCGAGTTCGTCGACAAGGACGCGGTGATCCTGGAGAACAGTCGGTTCCACAAGGGGGCCACCAGAAACGGCTCCAAATCCGAGCAGGCGGAGGAACTGAAGGAAAAAATGCCAAAAGGCGGAGTTCCAGCCACCTTCGAAGTTCATAAAGGCCGTGCAGGTCGACAAGGCTAAGCAGGTCGTGGTCCCTGCGTGCGTGCCGGATTCTCTCTGCGTGCACGAGTCCACCGAGTGCGACTGGTCCGTCAACGTGGGGCACCTCGCGAAGGCGCAGGCCCCGATGGAGGCCGAGATTAACCAGGCCGCGTCGAAAATCAAGGGCGCAGGCAAGAGCAAGACCTACAACGCTTACGAAGAGTGCGACTCGCACATTTCTGGCAAGTGCAAGGGCGCCCTCAGCTCCAGAGGCTGAGGGCATCGCGGCCGCGGGGCTCAGGACCGAGCCCTTCTGCTCACGAGTGCTGGCCTGGAGCCTCTGAGGCTGCAGGCCTCGGGGCCGCCGGCGTGGAGCGGCGCTCCTCTTGCCCGCGTGCGAAGAGGAGGCGGAATCGGCTGCCTCTTCCCTCGCTCTGTCGGCGGCGCCGAGGCGGCCCCGAGTCCGCCTGCTCCTCCGTCTTGCTTCGTGCTTCGTTTCGGCTGAATAGGCAAACCCGCCGGCGATCTGCAATCAGTTGCGCGCCACTTACTGGCGCCCAGCCGCGCGCCGCGCGCAGACGCAGCAGCGCGGCAGCGTTGCGCTCTTTGTCCAGCCTCGCGTGTGGGCGAGCGCTAGCGCCGAGTGCCAGGGCGCCCTGCGGGGCGCCGAAAGGGCACCGGCGCCGCCCGGCGGGCGCGCCCGGGCCTGCGCAGATAGCAGGGGGGCCTTTCGGGGGACAAAAAAACGCCAGCTCTCTTTGCAGGGTGCGCGCCGCAACATTGGGGGGGCGGCGTCTACTCCCGGCGCTGCGCCACAGGCGCTGGGGCAGCAATGGGGACAGGTGTTTGAGAAGAAAGATATCTACCGTACTGCTGCTGATGCTCATCTGCGTGAGCATGATCCTTCTCGTTCCCTCGAAGATCCCCCTCCGCCTACGCGTCTAGGCCTTCGGGGGCGCCCGGAAAGTTTGCAACGTGGTGCGCCTGGCCTGGATCGGTTTCCACATTCGGCTTGGCAACGCTTCCCAGGAGCTATGCTGACGCTAGAAACTGCAATGGGGTGGATGTTAGGCGGCAAGCGAATATCACCACAGTTTAAATACATAAGGGGGTGCATTTTAGCCAAAGGTGACGAAGACCGTGATGGGCAGCAAATAGTCCATGCCGCAAGCCGCGCTCGCCCTCTTGCGCCAAAGCAAACATCGAACAATAGTAGCGCAGTCACAGCACGCAGCCACCTCAGCAGAAAGATGGGTGAGGTGGTACACTGCTCGCAGCGCTGGCTTTTACAAGGTGTGAACTTTGGTTTAAACATTTTCGAACTTGATTGTCGTGTTCATGTCGCATCGATGCTTCCAGATGTCGACGTTCGGCCCCCAGCATTGGTTAGCTTTGATTATGGTCGGGCATTTCCTTCAGTGGCCCGCGGGTGGATCCCGCGCTGCCTGGCGTCGCTCAAGTCCCTCCCCCGCTGCTGTAATGCATTGCCATCTAGTGCGCTGGTGCGAAGTGTTTCGGCGTGCGCGGCCGCGAGCGCAGCTTTCTCTTCTGCATTGTCGCTGGCATCATTCAAGGATAGCCTGGGTCATGCGTCCTGTTCACCATTGCCAGTCACCCCGTCATGGGCGACTTCTACAAGAGATTGGAAGCTCTCGTTCCCCCTGTTCGGCCGGCGTCTTCAGCTGGTGCGGGACCGCGACGCGATGGGTCTCTGGCGTCAGGCACGTCAGGAGCTGCAGTCAGTCGGAAGGTGGAGGCCCCCGTTTTACCCAGCCAGGTGGCGGGGTCAAAATAGCGGTTGACCAGTAAGGACCCCCTCGGCGGCCCAGTCTCGCTCGAGCTTGCGCCGACGACGTTGGCGCTGTCATCGGCCCTCTCAGGACACTGATCGAGTTGGAGGCCGCCTCTATATGATAGTTGCGGCGAGGCCCTCGCGCGTTGAATGCCGAAGTCTGCCAGGTGCTTTTTGGCTTCCCTGGCCGGCCCCTTGAGCGACGCCCTGGCGGCCAAGTGCCGATTCTGGATCAGTAGCCACTTGCCCCAGTAGGGCAGTTTCAAAGTCGCGCCCACTTTAATTTACTCGGGGGTGACTTTAGGGCCCAGTGTAACGACGGAGAGCTGGCACAAAGCGATTGTAAAGTGGGATTTGCGTAGTCTGCTGAGCGCTAAGGGATGCAGCCCGACAGCGACAACTTATTAGTTATATTCGAGTAGAGCAGTCTCATGCGTCGGCGAAGTCTGGACGCTGGCCGATGTCAGTCCTGCCATCCATGCTCCTCTGGCGCGTCTCGAGCACTCTGCCCTCGCTGCCCTGTTCCATGCCCCGCACTGCTCTCTTTCTCTCTCCAGCCGGTTCAACGTCCACCGCTGGGGTGGACCATCCGTGCCCAGTCTTGCTGCGATCTCGGCTGCCATTCTCATGTGTTCAGCTTGCAGCGCGTATTCAGAGCACGCTGAGCTTCCGTTCGGCTTGCGCGAGCAAGCGTCTCAAACCTGGTTGTTGTCAAGATAGTGTCAGGTGAGCTCCCTCCGTCGTTCTGGGCCGCCCCGAGCCTCGTAGAGCAGCGGCTCAGTGAAGCAGCAGCAGGGTTTCCGAACTCCCGTGGGTTGGCTCGAGCTGGATCGAGAGCGTTGGCGGTCGTTCGCGAGATCTTGGCCCCTTCGACGCCAGAGCCCGCGCGGAACAAAAAAACCCGAGCTGCAAGGTTCGATTCTGAAGTCTTTGCCAGCTGAGTTTTACCATGCGATGTCGCGCGTGCCCTTGAGGCCCGTTGGGGGTCATGGTTCCTTGTGTCTGCGAAGGTGCCTCAGTTCTGTGAGCGGGAACGAGACTAGGGACATAATGCGACACTCTTCCACTGCTCTTGCCATTGCCTGCTAGAAGACTCTAGCTGTGTGTTGAATGACTTCGTTTAGAATGCACAACGCACGACGTAGCCAATGTATCTTAGTCTGTCGCGCTGATGATTAGTTCATCCACTACTGGGAGCGCCCTCAGTTTGTAGAGCCCCCCCGAGCCGCTCTGAATTCTGACGCCCACTCTGATCCCATTTGCCGTGCTGGCTTTGTCCCCCCCCCCCTCTCCTTCGAGCCTCCTTGCCCCTGCTACTGCCCATTTCTCGTTCTGCAACCTCTGCGCCCTGCATCATCTGCCTCACCCTCTGCGCCCAACTGTGGCTCGCTCCGCCATTGCTTTTGAACAGGGTGCAGGTAGCCCGCGCCAGCGGCCGCGATCGGGGTAGTGCAGGCTGGGGACAGGACTCGCGCGCGATGCGGCACGTGCCAGGAGGACGAGGGAGAGGAGGAGGAGGAGGAGGAGGAGGAGGAGGAGGAGGAGGAGGAGGAGGCGGAGGAGGCGGAGGAGGAGGAGGAGGAGGCGGAGGAGGAGGAGGAGGAGGAGGAGGAGGAGGAGGAGGAGGAGGAGGAGGAGGAGGAGGAGGAGGACGGGCCCATGGATGGAGACATCTGTCGACCCCCAAGCGCCCATTCCTCACCAGTTGGGGCCCGGGGCGCTGCACTTCCAGGCCTCCCACGCGGGGGCCCCGCCACCCAGCCCAGGAAGCCGCGCCTGCGGCACTGCGGGCCGATCGCCGCTTCCAAGTCGATGTGTCCCTCCATGCGCAGGTCCCCCTCCCACCATTCGCCCTCAGGTGGCCGGCGGTGGGGTGGTCAGAGTCCTACGCCACCATCGCTGCCTGCCCGGAGGACTCGGCAGCGTGGGCTCTCAGTGGCCTTGGGGGGCGAGAGTCGAGGTTCGGGGGAGTTGGGCGTCTAGGGCTCGTTCTGAGCCCACGGGGAGCCTGTCGTCGCCACGGGCGGATCCGTTTCGACATGCCGGCCACCGCGCATCCCTGGGGAAGTCTGGGGGCTTAACTTCCAGCGTCATGAAGAAAGGGGATTGCGAAGGCCTTACGGCCGGTGCCGCCGACCCTGAATGGGGACAACGACGACAACGGCGACGACAACGACGACGACGACGACGACGACGACGACGACGACGACGACGACGACGACGACGACGACGACGGCGGCGGCGGCGGCGGCGGCGGCGACGACGACGACGCTGACGTGGGTCAGAGTCCTCAGGGATGCTGTTTGGGATTTCTTCGGAGCGCTCTCGGTGGCCTCTTCGGGGGCAGTTTTGGGGCCTCTTGGGGACGTCTTGGGGGCCTCTTGGCAGCCTCTTGGGAGCCTCTTGGGGCTTCCTGGGGGCCTCTTGGGGCCTTCTCTCGGGGCCGAGGGCTCGAAATGTCCGTTCCGTGCCCCCGTCAGGGTACCCTGTTGGAGACTCTTGGGGCGCTCGAGCCCTCTTGGGGGTCTCGTGGAGAACTCTTGGGGGCTTCTGCTGGCTTCTGGGACCGCGCGGGGGGGAAGCGTATTTGGATGGGGACCCCCCCCGGGACCCCACCCGGGACCCCCCCCGGGACACCCCTGGGCCCTCCCCGGGACCCTCCCGGGACCTCCCGGGACCCCCCGGGAACCCCCTGCGGGACCCTCCAGGGACCCCCTCGGGACCCCCCCCCCCCCTCCTGGGATCAAAGGGAATGGGCTTCCCTTCGACTCCACTCCGACGTTGCTCAATTTCGCTTTGGATGGCGCGCTTGATGAGGAGGGCCCAGAAAAATGGAGCGGAGGACGACGGGGACGACGACTCGAACGGAGAAGCCCGACTCGAACAGGGAAGCCCCTCACACGCGCCGACAGGGTCGGCGGATTCTGAAAAACAAAGTACTAGTTCGATGTATCTGTGTGTTTCGCGCTCCTGGCGCCAGGGCTTTCAGAGACGGCTCAAGAGAAGAAGTTGGTGCCAGGGAAAGCTCCAGTGTCCAGGACCTGTTTTCCTCGGAGCCCTTTCCTCGGGAAGGCCGAAGGTGGGGTGAGGACGATGTGGGTGGGTATCATGTCCGGGACCGTGGAATCTCCCAGATCTCACGGCCCCCTCTCCTTCTTTCAGTCCATCCCCTGGCCCCCCCTCGCGTCCACGCACATGCCTCGGGCCATGCTGCGCTAACCCCCCTCTTGCTGGCCCCCCTCCCCTCCTCCAGTTCCACCTTCCAGTTCTCTCCCTGATCGGAGAGACGGCTTCCGCTCTAGCAGAAGCAACGTCGAAGTCGCCCATTTGTTGGCGGCGCGAGGCGAACAGATGCCGCCGCGCTCATCATACGAGCACTGTTGCTATCATCCCCCTCCCTCTTACTTACTCTGGAGGGGGCAATGATCGCCCCCCCCCTCGGATACGGGGGGAGGGGGCACGTGCTGTCGGAAATGGTGGAGAGGGAGTTGGAGGAGGAGGGGTGCGGAGGAGGAGGAGGAGGAGGAGGAGGAGGAGGAGGAGGAGGATAGGAGGAGTAGGGGAGGAAGAGGAGGAAAAACGAGGAGGAGGAGGAGAAGAGGAGAAAAGTAGGAGGAGGAGGAGGAGGAGGAGGGAGGAGGAGGAGAAGGAGGGGAGGAGGAGGAGAAGGAGGAGGAGGAGGAGGAGGAGGAGGAGGAGGAGGGAGGAAGAGGAGGAAAAGGAGGAGGAGGAGGAGGGGAGGAGGAGGGGGAGGATGAGGAAAAAGGAGGGAGGAGGAGGAGGAGGGGAGGAGGAGGGGGAGGAGGAGGAGGAGGAGAGGAGGAGGAGGGGAGGAGGAGGAAGAGGAGGAAAAGTAGGAGGAGGAAGAGGAGGGAGGAGGAGGGAGAGGAGAGGAGGAGGAGGGAGGAGGAGGAGGAGGAGGAGGAGGAGGAGGAAGGCGGGAAGGAGCGCGGGGGATGCATGGGCAAACCCTGCTTCGGAATGTCAATCCCCTCCCTCCCTCGATGGATGCCCCATCCCGAGCATTCTCCCTCTCCTGGCGGTGGGGGAGGGGCTGGCCCGTGGGACCTGACCCCCCGGGGGGGGGGGGGGAGGCGCGGCGCCGCGGGGCTCCCCCCGCGAGGGCGCTGCGGCCGTGGCCTGGCCAAGGGGGCCCGCGAGCCCGACGGCCGCGCCGGACCCTGCCTGCAGATCTCCGGGCCTCCCAGGTCGGATCCGGGTCCTCCTCCTCCTCCTCCTCCTCCTCCTCCACACCTCCTCCTCCGACACTCCTACCTCCTCCCTCACTCCTCTCCTACCTCCACCCTCCCTCCTCCTCCTCCTCCTCCTCCTCCTCCTCCTCCTCCCGCTGGGGCGGAAGGATCGCTCCGCATCGGCGATGCATCGGCGACGCAGCTCGGCACGGAGCCCGATTTTTGCCCCACGCCGAGACATCGCCGATGCATCGCAGAGACGTCGCCGATGCACCGCCGATGCGGCGCGGTGCTTCGACCCCAGCTGCTCGGACCCCGGCTGGGAGACCTCCAACCTCAGATCGATGGCCTGTTTTCGGTTCTGCCGTCGCCTGCCGCCTGCGGCGGGCGTGTAGCAGCGTCTGCCGCCTGCGGCGCGAGTCCCGGGCCAAGGGCCCCTCCCCCCGGCTTCGGGAGCCCGACCACGGCGAGAGGCCTGAGGGCCCGCTTCCCTTCAGGGCCAGTTTCCTTCACGGTGATTTCTTGCAGCTGTGCCGATCACCTGTGCCGATCACGGAGTGTATCGTTTCGGTCGAGCTCGGCAGCTTCTGTGGGGCTGTCTCAATGTGACCACCCTCTCAGCTGGTGCCTGGTCGGCAGTGGGGACTGGCAACGATCTCTTCTGTCAGTCTTGTGTGGGTCGTCGCCTTCACGGTAGTTGGCATTTTCGATTGGACCAGCACCAGGACGGAACGCGCTTTCCCCTTGCGAGGCAAGAGATCGTTGGCTTGTCACGCCTTCGGGCCCTCCTGGGCTCACTTTCTGTTCAGATTGGAGCATTCGTGGGGCTCTGCTGGGCTCCCTAAGGCCCTCCTAGGGCCTCTCGGGGCCATCTTTGGGTAGCAAGGGGTTCTTTGAGGAGGTCTGGTTACTCTTTGATGGAGTCTCGGGGCCATCTTGGGCCGGGCTTGGACCGTATCGGAGTCGTTTAAGGGTATCGTGGAGGCCATCGTGGGTCACTTCAGGAGCGTATTGGGGTCTCTTGTGGGCCTCTTGGACCCTCGTGGAGGCGTCTTCAGTCGCAAAGAGGGACGGACATGTCGAAACGCGTGAAACCCACCCGATGTTGACGATTTTTTCGCTGTCGTGGGGGCCCTGTGCAGATCCGTCTTAGAGACTGTTGGGGTCACCTTGGCGCCATCTTGGGGTAAAACGACGCGAAGATCGGGACAAAATCGGATCGGGATAGCTCGAAACCTCTGAGAATCGGCGGGTTTGGAGGATGTATTGGGCGCCGCGGCCGCTCCAGAGCGTTCCAGAACGCTCTGAGAGCGCTCCGGAACGCTCTGGAGCGATTTATCCCGATCCTAGCTCTGTTTTATGGGGCCTCGTGGGCCGTCTCGGGGGCCTCTGCGGACGTCTTGGCCACGCCGTGGAGCTCTCTGAGGCCAGCATGGGTGCCTCTTGGCGCCCCCGTGAGCGACCTTGAACTCTCTGGAGGCCTCCGGGTCTGGAGAAGCCTCCGGCTTGGCAGAACCAGGGCACGTCGGCTCCCCTGGGTCTCCGGCAGCGAACCCCCTCACACCCCTTACATACAGTGGGCGGCTTGAATAAGGAACACCTACTTTTCAAAAGGGGCTCGGTCGTTCCTTCGGTTTGCATATGTTAATTACAATTCCTTCTGCGTTATGTAATATTTTTCGTTCCTCTATGCGTTACTCCTTGGGATAAACAAGGGGCTTCATTCCTTATTTAGGGTTCCTTAGGTCAAGGCCCCGACTGTATTCGCTTGAACCATCAAACGGATCGCCGGCTACGCTCAATTTCCGCCATCCCACGGCAGGCCCTCCATCCCATCCGTGAATGCGGGGGCCTATGGACCATTCGCCTCAACAGTTCCAAGTGCTTGTCAGTAATGCCTTCGGATTTCCCGTGGGCCGACGGGGGTCTCAGGGGTCTCAGGGGCGTTCCTTTCTGAGATGCCCTGCGGAGGAATCGGTTCGGCTGCAGCAGCTCGGTGCCCCGAGCATGCCAGAAGGGCGCCGCGTTCGCCGGTGCGTGGCCGCGCTCGCCGTGGGCGGGGTCGTCGCGGCGGTGCTTGCCAGGAGCGCAGGCGGAGGCCCCGGTGGTGGCACGGAAGCGTCCGATGTCCGGCGAGTCGTGTCTGCCCAGGAGCCAGAGCGAGTGCTCGAAGCACCTCCACCAGGGCACCAGAAGCGAGGGAGAGAAAACGCCCTGAACAACAAGCTTGTGGCGCTCCGCGCGGGTTTCCCGGGTTCGCGCTGGGCCCCCCCCAGCGGCGCCTCCGGCGCCGCCCCTGGCGCGCTCCGCGCGCCAGGGAGGGGGGTCCAGCGCAGATCCAGGAAATCCGAGCGGAGCGCCAAAAGTTTATGTTTATGGCCTTTTATTTTTCTTCTACAGAAGCCAGATTGGATACCCGCGTACACCGCCAGCACCCAGACCAGCACCACCAGCACCAGAACGTCCACTACCACGACCAGCACCACAACGATGCCATTCAAGGAGCGGCCCGTGTCTGATGGGCCTTCCATGTACTGCTTCATGGTCGCCCGAATGACCGGGGATGAGGGGGACCTCGTCAAGTGTCAGTTCAGGCGTGGTGCTGGAATCTTTGGGTGCAACCACTTCTCCGTCTTCAGCGACACCAGGTTCCTGTTCACCTTGGGCCCTCCAGTGGTGCAGACGTACCAGCTCCCACTACCAGTGAGCACACCCATGCACGTTGCTGGCGTGGAGACCGCCGGCTACCTCAACACGGAATTGTTCGTCCGTGTGTGGGAGCGGCTTATGGGCTTGCCACAGGTGCTCGGCGGGCAGAAAATCAGCGCGGAATGCGCAAGGATTCTGGTCGGGGGTGGTTTCAGCCCGATGGCAGCTGGATCGCCCATGTCATGTGATCAATCCAGGATCTGTGATGTGCCCAGCCGCCTCAGGACAGAGGCCTCCACCTGGTGGGAACCACTCTTCCGCAACAGTCTTCGTGCCTTCAGGTGTGGAGCCACGATTGGATCGTGAAGGTGGACCCTGATACTGTCTTCTTCCCGTACCGGCTACAAAGATCTCTGGTGCACTACGGGCAGGGTGTTGCTGCGTATTTGCGCAACTGCCCGGGTGGCCCGCGCGGGCTGGAGATGTTCGGGGCCATGGAGGTGATCTCGAGCCGTGGGCTGGACGCCTACCGCGCAGGGTGGACGCAGTGCGTGGAGAGACTGCAGTGGAACGAGCTCGGCGAGGATCCAATGCCTCCGGCCACTGCCGTCGGCCCCCCTCCCCCCTGGCACCGAGAGGCTCCAGGCTCCTGGGACGGGCATGTCCTCTTGGCTCACTGGTCAGGAGGGAAAAAAACACACACAGACACAATTCATCGTCGATCCCCCAGAAAATATTGGAAAATATGGGAAGTGGGGGGGGGAAGACGAAAATCCCCAAACTATGGAACAATATTGGGAATAGTTTTATTTGTGTGTATTTATTTGTGTGTCCCAGGGCCCCCTCAACTGGGTTCACCCCGGCTTCCTGCAGCCAGCTGGGGCCGCCTTCGCACGTCGTGTTCCCCATGGCCAGCATTCGAACAAGCAACGCTCAGCATCTTCTTCCACACAGCGCACTTCCACACGCTTTGCCCCTTGCGAGAGGAGTCGAGGCACCGTAGGACCCTCGGGGATCCCTTGGGAGCACACCCTCCCTCCTTGTAACAACATAGGGGCCTCTTCTATTCTTGGGTCCCCTCGAAGCTCTCGAGCGAGACCCATTACATATGACATCGGAGTTGTAACTTAAAGTTGCTATCATACTACAACCAAGCCGTGAAGCGAGAACCAAAGCATAGGGCTCGTAAGAGGCTGGAAACTGTATGGCACGCCAGAGGGACGCTTTTGTGGCTGGTGGGGAACACTATAGAGAGGGGGGCGCAATAGCAGTCAGAAGCGTTGAGTTCCTCTGACAGACACACTCCAGAGCAGCCTGCGAAGGCCAGAGCTCCACGACGCTACCCGAAGGCCCCGCCAGCCAGCCGCCCACAACTGGGAGGAGCTGTACTCCCCAGCCCCCTCCAGGTGCCCACCTGGCGTCGACGAGAACTCTCGAGGGATCGTGGAAATACGGTGGGTGCCCGCACGCGGCGGAGCGCGCCGCGTGTTTGCTCCCCCCCCTTGCTTCTTCCAGAGTGCATTCGGTGCCTCGAGAGGTGTTCCCCCACAGCGGAGGCCCATGCCAAGAAGCACCCTGCCTGCCTCCAGGGTGCCCTGGGCTTCTTGGGTCTCGATGGTCCTGCCCTGGAGAGCGCGGCGTGCCCACGCCAGAAGTCAGCGGACGCCCCGGGGTCCCAGGGCTGGGCTTCTTGCGGAAGGTTCCCTGCGGTCGAGCCCTTGCTGCACCCGTCCCTGCCGGGCCGAGTCGTCAGCGCGCTCGCCTCCCGCGGTGTCGAAGGAGGAGTGAGGAGTGAGGAGGAGGAGGAGGAGGAGGAGGAGGAGGAGGAGGAGGAGGAGGAGGAGAAGGAGGAGGAGGAGGAGGAGGAGGAGGAGGAGGGAGGAAGGAGGAGGAGGAGGAGGAGGAGGAGGAGGAGGAGGAGGAGGAAGGAGGAGGAGGGGAGGAGGAGGAGGAGGAGGAGGAGGAGGAGGAGGAGGAGGAGGAGGAGGAGGAGGAGGAGGAGGCGGAGGAGGACGGAGGAGGGAGGAGGAGGAGGAGGAGGAGGAAGGAGGGAGGAGGAGGAGGAGGAGGAGGAGGAGGAGGAGGAGGAGGAGGAGATGGACAGAGGAGGAGAAGGAGGAGGAGGATGGGGAGGAGGAGGAGGAGGAGGGGTGAGGAGGAGGAGGAGGAGTGAGGAGGAGGAGGAGGAGGAGGAGGAGGAGGAGGAGGAGGAGGAGGAGGAGGAGGAGAGGAGGAGGCTGAGGAGGAGACAGGCGGAGGACGTGGGAGTCAGCACGGAGCCTGAGTGAGGAGTGAGGAGTGAGGAGTGAGGAGTGAGGTGTCGGCGGAGGCAGCGCCCGACTTGTGCTCCCCCCAGCTGCGGCTGGCTGGCACGGGGGGGCGGGCGGGCTTCTTCATGCAGAAGTGCCTCGACCTCCTGAACGTGCCCGCGCGGGGGGGGGGGGCGGGGCGGGGGGGGGGCAGTCCAGAGGAGCGCGGCCGGGCACGTGGAGGAAGGACGGAGGGAGGGAGCGCGGCGGGGGAGGAAGGACAAGATCAGGGAGGGAGGAGGCGAGCCTCCTCCACCTCCTGTCGCGTCCTGATGCCTCCTCCTCCTCCTGCAACCCCCTCCCCCTCCTTTCTCGTCGTCCCTCCACCCCCCCTCTCCCCCTCCCTCTTCCCCCCCCCCGCATCCTCCTCCTCCTCCCAGGGGCAAAGGAGGCCAGCGACGAGGGAGAGGCAGCGGGCTGGAGAACGGGCACGAGTGAGCCCGACAGAGCAAGACCATGGTGGACCAGCTAGGTAGCTTCTCGTGGAGCAGCGTGGCTCCCAGCAGGACAGCCACCGTCGACCATGCTGGCCAACCTGATGGTCAACAGGGAGACAGCGTCCTCCCCCCCTCGGCAGAATTTCCCCAGCTCCCGTGGCGAAGGCGGTTGCAGCCAGGGGTGAGGGAGGCCAGAGAAGAGGAAAGGGCAACGCGAAGAAACGTAGCCAGCAATGAGAAGGACAACGCCAGCTTGGCAAAACTGCGGGCCAACATAACGCAGGCTTTTGCCGACAACACGTGCGTGGGAGCGCTAGGCCAAGAGATGCATGAGCAAAGTTGGGTGCTCGAACCATCCACGGATGGAATCATCGACTTGGAGACAGAGAGCATGGACATCAAGCCAGCCTGGGGATTCGACGCGATCCAGCACCTGACCCAAGGATTGAACTGGCCAGGGGCAGGGTCAGGGGGCATCCAGACATATTCAGGAGGAAAAGAAACACACAGACACAATTAATCCTCGATCCCCCAGAAAATATGGGAAAATATGGGAAGTGGGGGGGAAGACAGAAACCCAGAAAATATGAAAAAAATATGGGGAATAGTTTTATTTGTGTGTATCTATTTGTGTGTCCTGGGGCCCCTTCACATATGTGACAGACCTGGCCATGTGGTGGATCCCAGCGGACGCCAGGAACCCCAGCGGACGCCAGGAACGCGCTCCGGCGCCGGCAACCGGCGCGCGCGGCTGCTGTTGCCCAGGAGAGGCGAACTCCCTTTTATTACGAAATCTGGAGTAGCCTGGCACGTCGAGTAAGGAATGGGCCGTCGTCGGTTCGCGAGAGGGCGTCGCGGCCGCCATTTTTGCGGGTCCAGGTCCGTCGGTTTGGGTCCCAGGCCGTGTTCACTAAGGGGAGGTTTACTACAGGGAGGTTTGTGCACCGCCGACACCCCTGGGCCAGGGCTGGGCCTGAACGCTGCTTTGATGGACTTCGGCTGCGCTTTGTTTTTCGCTTTGGAAGGGAGGTACAGCAGAGCAGGTGGAGCAAAACGGAAACAGAACGGCAACAAAACGAAAAGCAACGTTCAGGTTCAGCCTTGCCCTGAGCTGGCGGAGAGGGGCCAGGAGGAGCATGGAGGACAATCGGCCACTGAGAGGGGCGAGGGTGGAGCCCGAGTTGGCCCAGATGCCGAAAGCGACCCGGAGCGCCAGATCGCCGTCAGCAGCGGGCAGGCACTGGCGGCCGGCACGGTGGACGCGGCGGAAGGGTGGCACCCCCGCGGAGACGAAGCGAACCGCCGGCGTACACGACAAGAGACATGCACCCAGAGATCCGATGTCGTGATTTTTTCAATACGGGGTCCCCAGAGGTCTCGACCCATTCCCCGGGACCGGTTTCTCATCCCGAGTCGTTTTTTGACGGTCCCGGGGCCCGGCGAGGACCCCTCGAGGCCGAATCTTACGACAAACCTCCGTCTTGATTTTTTCATTACGTTGGATCTCTGGGCATCCGCCACGCCGTGGCGCTCACGTGGAGCCGCGAGGGCACCGAGCCGAGCCTCGACGCGGCGCGCCGGGGAGCGCAGCCGCCCGGGCCGCCGGGGCTGCCACGTGGAGCCGCCGCGGGTCGCCGCCGAGGCGTGCCGAGAGGCCTGCCCGGGCGCGAGGCGCCGACGGCCGGCGAGTGGCAGGCCCAGCGATCCAACGTAGTGACAAGAATCAAGGCGGAGGTTTTCCGCACATTTCGGCCCCTCCTCCTCCTCCCCCTACCCCCTCCCCCCACTCTCCCTCCCCCTCCTCCTCCGCCCTCCCTCCCTATACTAGTCCTCCCGTCCCGCGTCCCCTCCTCCTCCTCCTCCCGCATCCTACTCCTTTCCTCCTCCTCCTCCTCCTCCTCCTCCTCCTCCTCCCCCTCCTCTGGCGCAAAAATCAAGGCGGAGGTTTTTCGCACATTTCGGCCCCCATAGGGGCCCTCGCCGGGCCTCGGGGCCGTCAACAAAACACGACTCGGGAGGAAAGACCAGTCCTGGGGAATGAGGGGTCGAGACTTCCGGGGATCGCGTCTTGGCAAACGTCACGGCGTCGGCTCTCTGAGGGGTGCGAGGCGCCAGAGGATCCCCCGGGAGAGGCTCGAGGAGGTCAGCGGCGCCGTGGCGAATGCCATCAGGCAGCAGCCGCGCGCCTCCGCGGCGAGGGGGCGAGGGCGGCCCGGCGCGCGCGGAGAGGGCCGCGAGCGAACGGCTGGAGCACATCTCGGAAGGCCGGGGGGGCGTCCGAGCCGTGTGAGAAGGCCTTCTCCTTCTCGCTTCCCCAGACCCCATCGCGTCGTGAAGAAATCACGACGGAAGGTTTTTCGCCATTTTCGCCCTCTGGGGGTCCTCACCGGGCCTCGGGACCGTGAAAGCACGACTCAGGAGGGAAAACCGGTCCCGGGGAACGGGTCCAGACTTCTGGGGGTCGACGACGTGAAAAAATCACGACGTCGGGGGTCTGGGTCCCCCCCTCGCTCGCGGCCGAGCGAGGGGACCACCCGCACGAGTGGAGGCGCAGCTGTGGCCCCGCGCAGCCGCAGCCCTGCAGCAGGCAGGAGAGCGTCAGGCGCGGGCAGCCTTCTGCGGCAGCACCCCAGCGGGCCTCGTCGAGGCGCCAGGCGCTCGTCGAGGCGCAAGGACACCGCGAGGCCGGCGCCGGCGGGGGCGCGGCCAGGCCAGGCCAGCACGCAGCCCACCCTCCTCCTCCTCCTCCTCCTCCTCCTCCTCCTCCTCCTCCTCCTCCTCCTCCTCCTGACGAGCTCGCCGGCGGAGTGGTCAAGGCAGCCAGGCGAGTCGGCCGTGGCGAGCAAGCTGCCGAGCGCGGACAGCCCCAGCCGTCCGTCCGCCTCCTCTCGAAGAAGGATTTCTTGGATCCGGGCTGGGCGCCGCCCCTGGCGCGCTCCGCGCGCCAGGCAGGGGATCCAGCGCGGACCCAAGGAATCCGCGCGGAGTTTATGGCGTTTTTTCTTTGTCTGTCCTCCTGAGGCAGCGGGGCGGACCGCCCGTGCGAGAGAGGGGAATCCTGCGCAGGCGAGCGTGCTCCGTGCGCAGCACGAGAAGGAGGGCAAGAGCCTGGCGCTCGGCCGACGGAGCTCGGCGGGCCTCCGCCTCCGGCAGCCGCCGGGCCGAGCAGCGCAAGACTGCGCGCCGCGCTCGGGCGCCCGTCGGCGCGCGGGTTGGTTGGGACCAGAGGGGGGCCACGAAGCGTTGCCCCCCCCCCCCCCGCACCCCCAGCCCAAAGCAGCGAGGGCCTCCATACCCCCCCTCCCGCCCTCCCTCCCCCCCCCCTCCTTCCCTTCGTCCCCCCTCGCACGCCTCCAGCCTCCCCCTCCCTGCGGTATCTGCGCGAACCAACGCGGCGGTGTTCGCGGACGCGTACTGCATGTCGCAGGCCGTCGACTGCCACGCGGATCTGCCGGCCTTCCACCCCTTCAAGAAGGCTGGCCCGGCGCGCCCGTGCCTCATACAGAGAGAGAGAGAGAGTCCGCAAAGACCTCCAGGGGGTCCCAGCGCAGTTGCAAGAAACCCGCGCGGAGCTCCGAAAGTTCATGTGTATGCGGTGTTTCGACTTCCTCTATTTCGGGCACGTCCGGCACCCAGTGAGCTTCCGCGGGGGGCCTCTGGGGCCGGGAGGAGGAGGGCGGCGACGACGAGGAGGACCGAGAGGAGGAGGCTGGAGGGATGAGGAGGGGGGCCTGGGGAAGTGGAGGAGGACGAGGAGGTCAAGTGGCCCTGGGGAGTGGCACGGGCGAGGCGGGCGAGGGGAAGTGGAGGAGGACGAGGAGGTCGAGGTGGGCGAGGGGAAGCGGAGGAGGACGAGGAGGTGAAGGTGGCGCGTGCGAGGTCGAGCGGCCCTGGGAGGGCGAGGAGGGCGCGGGGGAGCAGCGGGAGGACTGCCGAGGAGGGCCGGGCTCGACGTGCCCAGGCCCCGCCGTGGGCGAGGCGGCGCTCCTCGCCCGCGTCCTCGGCTTGCGTTTCCTCGTGTCGAGTCGCAGTACTGCTGCTGAGATCGTCATTACACTTGTCATGGTTGCCAACAGTCGCATTATTGCTTGTTTTGGTATTCTTGTCTTCCTTTAACAGTTGTATAAGCATCATTATGTTTGACATTATCAGTAGTATTGTTATTCTTATGCGTACCTTCTTATTTATCTTATTATCCAAATAGGCTTGCCATGTAGGAGTTCGAACCCATTCTCTACTAATTGGTCCGTTGCCCCTCCCCCCTTAATTCCTATGCCCCTCCCCTGATTCCTATGGCTATGCCTATGCCTATGCCTATGCCTCCCCCCTGACTCCAATGGCACCCTCCCTTATTTCCAATGGCACCCCCCAGGTATTTCCACTGGCGAGTCCTGTGGATTCCTATGAGTCGCTTGCCCTTGCTTGCTCTTGCGTGCTCTTGCTTGCTTGCTCTTGTGGCTTGCTCTCGCTTGCTTGCTCTTGCTTGCCCTTGCTTGTTTGCACTTGATCGCTGGCTCTTGCTTGCTTATTGCTCGCTTGCGCTTGCTTGCTTCCGCTTTCTTGCTTGCGCTTGCTTGATTTTGCTCCTCCCGTCCTGCTCCCGTCCTCCTTTCATCCTCGTCCCGTCCTCATCTTGTCCTCCTCCTGTCCTATAGATTTGGAGTCAACGCTTGCTGATATTAGCAGTATTATTATGATTCGTCCTCCTCGTGCGTAGCCATGCTCAAGGGCCTTCTCCTGAACTTCCAACCTCGCTCGAATTAACACGGCCATTCTGGCATCTCGTTTCTCCAAGGGCTTTTTAGCGATTGCCGAGAAGACTGGGACTCCCGTCACCATGTCGGCCATGCGGGCCTTGATGGCGCACTTCAGTGACACGGTCGGCGCGAAGATCACATCCGCGCGGCAGCCGATGCACGCGACGATCAACACAGACAATCAGGACATTCTGGGGGGAGTCAGCGAGCAGAAGATCAAGATTCGGGCGCTCGACGCCAGGATGAACGCGACCGAGAGCTGAGACACTAAGTCAACCGCACCATGCAGTGTGACGATGAGACCGGCGCCGAACAGGGTTCGCGTGCCCGTTTTGCCAAAAATGCCATCGTCTCCTCCTCTCCCTCTCCTGCCTCCTTCTCCTCGTTTTCCTCCTGCTCCGTTTTGTGCACGCGTGCCTTCACTTACCCATCCAGTGTGACGATGAATGGTAATATGCCGAAGACGCGGAGGACAGGCAGCAGTATACTTCTGATCGCACTGGGCCGGTCTCGCGCGGTCGGACATGCGAAAAGTATGGAGCCATGTGGCCGCGCCCAAAGGCGCGACAGAGCAGGAGGAAGGGAGGGGGACAAAACAGCGACATGCTCCTCCTCCTCCAGCTCCTCCCCCTGCTCCTCCTCCTCCTCCTTCTCCTTCTCCTGCTCCTCCTCCTCCTGCTCCTCCTCCTCCTCTTTCCTCCTCTTCCTCCTACTACGAAACTCGAAAGTCACGTTTCGGCCAACACCAGGGCAACTTCCCGATCTCAGCGCGAAGTTTCACAACGACTCGTATCCGCACTCGGTCATGTTCCCGGCAGTTGAGAGGGCGGTGAAGTTCCGCTTACAGGTGAGCACGGCCACGACGACGTATGCCGACCCTTGCACAGGCGACTGGTACCCGATCCATGCTCGTGGCGACCTATATCTGTCGGCGGGAGGAAGACGCAGCACGAGCACTCGAGGCTGTATTCACGGCGAAGTGGACGCAGGTCTGCTAGGTTGGCGTCGACGGCCTCAAAGGCAGACTCTACGCGACGAGCGGCGCCGACAGAAGAGGCTGCAGCAGGGTGAAAGTCGCAGCTGTTCCAGCCCAAGAGCAATACCACGAGTCCAGCAGCACTGGCCATGCCAACAGCCTCATTACGCTCGAGGAAGCAATGGTAGGCCAGATGCGAGCACCTAGGAAGTCGTCAAGTGGAACCGTTGCGTGCGATTCCAAACTTGAGAGAGTGTCGTTTGGCCATGATGCTTGCAGCTCCACCCAAGTCTTCACAGCGACGTCACGATTTCATGATGACGATCAGTAGCCGTTGCTCTTGGAACTTTTATTGAAAGCGGGGAGGGATGGGGCAAGGGAACAGAGTGGCAGGTCGCTTTCGCCTGCGGTTATTTTCGCCCGTTCGCATTCGCCCGCCAGTAGTGGTCGTCATCGTGGTCGTCATCGTGGTCGTGGTGGTCGGGGTCATGGTGGTCGTGGTCGTCGTCGTCGTCGTCTTCGTTATCGACGTCGTTATCGACGTCGTTGTCGTCCTTCGTCGTCGTCGTCGTCGTCGCTCGTGGCCGTCGTCGCCAACCGCCCGACCGCCCCGCCCGCTTGCTTGCTGGAAAGCCGCACGCCCGTCGTGCCGCCCTCGCTTGCTTGGAGTCCCGCCCGCTCGCTTGAAAGAACCGCCTGCCCGACCCGCACGTTGGGTCCAGCCCGCCCGCTCGGGCCCGCCCGCTCGCTTGCTTGAACGCCCGCTCGCTCACTTTCACATCCTGCCCGCCCGATCCACCCGTCAGGGCCCGCCCGCCCCATCAGGAGGCTGAGCACGAGGACGCCGAGGACGAGGGGGAGGAGGACGAGCAAGAGGATATGGACGCGCAGCAGCAGCAGCAGCAGCAGCAGCAGCAGCAGCAGCAGCAGCAGCAGCAGCAGCAGCAGCAGCAGCAGGGGGCGCGCTCTTGCGAAGTGCCGGCGGGACGACGCTCTGGCGAAAGACCCCGCGAAAGGGGCACGGGCAACGACGGACCCCGAACAAGAGAGAGGGCAGCGAGGCACTGCAAGTTTTTTTCCCAACTACGTGTGAGAGAGGACGAGGACGCCGAGGACGAGGGGGAGGAGGACGATCAAGAGGATATGGACGCGCAGCAGCAGCGAAGGACCCCGCGAAAGGGGCACCGGCAACGACGGACGGGCCAGGCGAAGGCGACGCCGCCGAAGGCAACCCCGCGAAGACGTCCGCCATCGAAAGCGATCGCCTGGCGGAAGCGACCGCCGTGGGAGCGGTGCCAGGAGAGGTGGCCGGCGAAAAGGACCCCAACGGAGGCGTCAGTCGGCGAAAGCGGCCCCAGCAGAAACGGCCGCCGCCGAAAGCGAATGAGTGACTCGTGCGGGGCAGGAGGAGATAGAGGGGAGGGCAAACACGGACGGGACGGAGAGGGTGAGGAGGGAACCTCCGGTAGGAGGGTCTTGCAAGAGACCTCGTGAGGTATCCAGAATCTTCCAGAGGCCCCGAAACGAGTTAGATGTTCGATCAGATGAGGGAGGGGAAGGAGGGAGGCGAGAGAGAAGCAGGGGGATAAGGAGGAAAAGGGAGCGGGATGTAGCTTGGGTTAGAAGAAGGACCGACGAACGCGCCATCATTCAACAGTTCGCCGTTCGCAAGCGGACGAAACCGAGAGATGCCCTGAACGACGCCGAAACCCGACACCCGACACTTGCCGCCGCCGTCGCCGCTGCCGCCGCCGCCGACGAAGACGACGACGATGACGACGACGACCGACCACGACGACGACGACGACGACGATGACGACGACGATGACGACGACGACGACGACGACGACGACGCCGATGCCGACGCCGACGCCGACGCCGACGCCGACGCCGACACCCGACACCCAACACCCAATACCCGACACCCGACACCCGACACCCGACACCCGCCGCCGCCGCCGCCGACGACGACGACGACCACGACGACGACGACGACGACAACGACG